TATGGATACCCCGTTAAGCCAAAAGATGAAAGTTAAAATTTGTCAAAACAACCTAAATGAAAGTTATAGTACTATTCTTTCAATTGATCTCAGGTCGCCGGCTACTAACCTTCAATCAATTTCAATCTAGAGGTACACATCTCACGTTCAATTGATTTTTCTTCTTTTTTTGTTTTTTCCCTTTTGTGGTTTTTCTCCATCAAGTTATCTTCATTAGTAGCTATGTATAACACTTGTTTTTGACCCCATGATGCACATATTGATGCATCTCGATTTCTTTTATGTTTAATAATCTAAATGTATTGTTTGTTGAAATATATACCATCTGTTCGATTAAATGCTCCAATTAAAAACCAATACACTAAAATTGAATATGTTTGTGTTCTGAGTGCTTGAATATGTTTGAATTTGGCTGAAATCCACAACATGTGAACTTTCATTCCTTTTGTTGTAGTTAAAATTTCATTTCTCCTTTTGTTATACACGTAATATAGATAAGTTTATATTATGTGTGTTGGTGTTGCTCTCTGTAGCTATATATTGTAGAACATGCTCTGCAACGAAAGACCATTCAGTTGCAAAGGACCCCATATGACAGAGTCAGGAACAGGCACAAGACGCAAGATAGCGGTTAGTAAATATAAATTACTTAAATTTTTGTTCTTTCATTGATATCTAATAAATTGTTCTCGTATTTTCAAGGTTTTAATTGGTAAAGTTGTAGCAAAAAGTGGTACATGGATTTGGATGCAAAGGTTGTAGATTTATCTTGATGTGGGGTATAACATCAGTGTGATTAGCTCCTCCAACTGCATATGTTGCTCCACAAGGTACTTATTACTTAAAAATTATTTATTTTGAATTAAAAGAATACATGGAATACTATGGAATGACTTTAAGGTGCATGCCTTCTGATCTATACAACTTGAACTCAGCATACGAGACACATGAGGAGCTGAAGTATTGCATAGAGGAGATGCACAAACTGGTAGTCATCACCATTAACTGGTATTATTTAGTCATCTTTTTTTAGTTTGGAGGAATATCTGATGATACTTTGTTCTTTTTCCAATACTTAAAAAATTATAGTAGCACAATTTACATGCTCTGAATCAAATCCCATTTGAGATTGAAGTTTATACTTTTAGTATTTATCAAATGAAGACCATATTGCCCAATAAATAAACCAACATTCTTTCTCCTTTTGGCCTTTTTAAACCAAAAAAATTGTCCCAACATGCAGGTATGAACAAACCTGCCAATTCTGACGTTTACCAAAAAAAGACCATTTTGCCCTTTACTCAAATTTTTGCATCTGATTAATCGGATTTTGTTATTATTCATTCCCTTATTCCAAAAGAACAAAAGAATTAACACGTTATAAACTTACAAATCCATTAACTTCACAAATTGTATCTTTTATCATGTTTTTTTAATTTACCAGGTCCGACAAATGATTTTGTTTATCAGTATGTATTTGGTGTCTGGTTTGTTTTGTTTTGGTTCTTGATTCTCTGAGAGTCTAGCTTTGTAAGTTTTTATTCTTGGTTCTTGATTATTCTATAAGGTATTTGATCATTTGATTTATTGCCTAATCTATTTTTTAATTTTTAATTTTTTTTATTTATTTGTAACAAGGATTCATGGGCTACTCAATCGGAGTGATTACACCCAAAGATATCATAAAGGACATGATGTCACAAGATAGTTAAGCAAACAATCATCATCTACCAATTTGACGATAAAAATACTTTTCGTTTTGATGATTTTTATGTTGTGATAAATGTTAGGAACACCTACAAGTAAAAAAAGGCTGAAAAGCGGACTTTGAACTATTTTACATTAAGATATAATTTTTATGAGCTATATTGAGTTTCAGTAATGATCTTTCTTGGTTTTCCTATATATTTTAACACTGAAATATCAAATTTTTATATCCTTTCTGAAAAATGGTATCATTTTCTTTATTGGATGTTATTTAGGTTTTGAGGGTGTTAATGAATTAAGAACATAAGCTGATGGATTTTCCATTCCTCATCAGGTGGATTCTACCAAATTAAAGGGTAATCAAAGATCACCTTTAAGAAGTTGTGATAATAATGGTAATTATTTTTATGTTTCCACTTTTCATATATGTAATGGACAATATTATATTATTTCCATCATAAATAGTGTCCTCATTGTCAACATAATGAACCTCTTTATTTTTTAATAGGTAACTGTAAGTATCATTGTTAAGAAAGAGTTAACATGATGAATATTTTACTGACATGAAGATTATGAAAGAGGTTCACAAGTGTAATGAGTTTTTGAGTTTTTATCCAAACATTTGTTAGTTTTTTTTATATGTTTGATTTTTTAGACTTAATATTATCATATTTATTAGACATTTATTTCCAAATATTTGGAATACCTTTCGAAGACGGTCGAGCTTTTAATTGAAATGATGATATTATGATTTCAACATTTTATATATATATATATATATATATATATATATATATATATATATATATATATATATATATTTATTTATTTATTTATTTTATATTGTAAATAATAATTTAATTAATAATTTTAATTGATCAAAATTAATATGATAAAACATATATATTGACATTTAGACTGATAAAACAATTTTTGTGGCAAAATTATGTGCCACTAAAAATATTATGATTTTTAAAAATAGTAGTAGTTTTTACAGGTACAAATTTTGTACCACAAAAGCCTTTTTTTTATATTGTGGCAAAAAAGTGCCATAAAAGTCTAAAAGTTTGTAGCGGCAAACCCAAAAATGTCACTTAAAGGCTTTAGTGAAAGCACTTCTAGTGACATTTTTTTCGTGTCCCGCGGATACCTAGAGGGGACTTTAGTTATATTTTTTCAGTTTTTTGTGGCACTTTTTGTATGCTACTAAATGGCTTTTATTTTGTAGTGAATCTTGAAAGAACCAACCCGACAACTTTTACCCACACCAAGAAAGATGTGAGGGACCGTTTTGAATTTATTTTGTTGCTTTCGATGTTCGGTAAGATATTATTTTAATATATCAATTATTTCTTTATAGTTGTAATTTATGGATTCCCACATTTATGATTTGATTATCTACTAATTTGTAGATTGATACGTTTATGAATTGCATGCTACCAACAATCCTTATTGATAGTGCCCCTCTTAAAGGAAACTACATATACACAATGTTTGTATCGGTTTGTCATGGATGGAAACCATCAGACCTTGCCCACAACCTACGGTTTAGGCATGACACAGAGTGTGGCATCGTGGTCCTGGTTCCTAATGAGGCTAAAGGAATGTATTAGGAATGTTAAAGAAGCAACCTTCATAACAAATATTTTCGATTACAATGACATTGCCTATAGACATGTCTTCCTAGATTCATGTCATAGGTATTTTTGTCGGAATTTGTTTATGAAATTGCTATCCAGGAGTAGACTTGCTCGATGAGTCAAATATTTGTTCTAGAAGACATGCAAATCTAATAACATGTTTGATTTTGAAAAAACTTTAGTTAAGCTAAATTGCTATTTAAAATTTTGTAAGTATTTTATACCACCAGATGACATGAATCCTAATATTATTTGCAAGGGTATTTGTTGGTAAAATTACCCCTTATGCATGGAATATGCTTCAAAAGAGGATGTGTAAGCTAGTAAGTTAGCGGGCAAAACACATCTCCCAATTCATCTTTGAAATAACAGATGACATGAACCATTGTATTTTTAGTCTGAGTAACAATACATGTACATGCGGAAAATGAAAAGGTAGTAGTGCTTTGTCGTCATGTTATAGAGACAATTGGAATCAATATACATGTTGGACTTTTTCCATTTAGTATATATTTATTTGACGTCTATAGTGTATCTTAGGCCTCTGCCTGGATGGGAACTGTTGAATGATTGATGGCTATGTTACACCGTATGATCCATTAACCCCCATTCACTTGTTTGGTTTATATATTTTTAATTAAATAAATTATTTTTGGATGTTTCATTCTCAAGAACAATTGTTACTTTTTATAAAATCGGGTTTAATGTTTATGAAGTAAATATCAAACATATAATAAAATGTATAACAATGTGTTGTGTAAGAATAACATGAATTAAAATTAAAACAAGAACACAAATAAGCAAAAGGTGAAGTTTAGAAATATTCTCTGAGTACACCAATATATATACTTTGACATAAAGTCGGTGGTGTACATAACAACTGATATATAAAATCCACGTAAGAGAGCATCACGAAATGTCTTGCAGCAGACTAGCTCTCACTAACCTACACCAAAAATTGGTCAATACAGAGTCTCTGACATAAATTAAGTTGTTGTATATAACAACCTTTAGATAAACGACACATAAGAAAGCATCACAAAATTTGTTGCAATAGATTAGCACTCAATAAACTATGCCATGGTTAGTTAATGACAACTCATTTTAAGTCAATGTAGAAAAGGTCGATCAACGTCGAAGCTCTACTTTCGATCTACAAAACACATAAACTATATACCGATGGGAAAATGACTTACGAGCCCAACCAAGTTTCCAAACCGTTCAAAAAACCCTAATCATGTTTTGTCTGTTCAGAAAAATCCAACAAACTTAACATTTGTCTAAAAAAGCTCAACTATGTTACGTTTTTATTCAATTATATGGAAATCACCATATTGGGAAAATGACTTGTAAGATCAACGAAGTTTTAAAACTGTTCAAAAAACCTCAATCATGTTTTGTCTGTTCAAAAAAACCCAATGAATTTAACATTTTGAACAGACAAAAATTGATTGAGATTTTTTGAACGGTTTGGAAACTTCTTTGGGGTTTTCTAGACAAATGTTAAGTGCGTTGGGTTTTCTTGAACGGACAAAACATTATTGAGGTTTTTTTGAAAGATTTGAAAACTTAATTGGGCTTGTAAGTCATTTTCCCTATAGTGATTGTTGAAACCAATATCAAAACACTAAGACTGCCACAAACATATCAAAACTCGGTCTTCTGCAATAAATAATAAAAGTTAAATTATTTATTTAGATTGTACATACACCATACAATCACACATTTTGTAAGCACATACAAACAGACAAGCCATACATATCTTCAAATTTTGAACCAAGAAAAAGAACCTCATAAACATCATCGTCGAACAACTTAAACTTGAGATATCAATGTTGTAAACTAATCATCCTTCCCAACTAGTGCAAGAAGGAATCGCTTGTAATGCCCTGAAGTTTCCTTTGCAATAACCTGATCAAGTGGCACACTGTTCCTCTTGTGATATTGGTCCATGATAATCTTTAGGTCTTTTTCAGCTCGTGTAACTATCACCCGAGTTAGTGCGTCCTCGTTGTTCCCACTCTTTTTAACAGCATTACGGATCACCTACACGATGGCGTATGTGCAATAGGAATAAATTGTATTACACAAGTGATAATATTGGTAGTTTGTCGTTGTCTCTGGTATATATGTTTTTGTGTAATTTTTTTAAATATACTTTAATAAATGATTTTAGATGAATGAAAATGACCGATAGCACTAGTTCACGTGTGTGATGGATTAGTGGTGTCAAAAGAAATGAATAACAAAGCTAACCTTTTCAAAGTACTTAATCGGATCACTCATGCATCTAATCGTGGTACGTAGTGTTTCTGTGTACTCATTGGCTCGATCATCCTTTAAATGCTGTAATTAGAAAGAAAAAAAATAAAAACATTGTATTTTCATAAGATCGATGTTTTTTAATAAGAATACTTAAAAAACCATATATGATCAATGGAATTTCCGTATACCTTGGTCATATTGCAACCATGTTCATCTTTGTAGTGATTCAAAGTAGCCATGAGTTGTGGCTTGCTCCTTGTAGTGATAATTCGGAGGATTTCCTTCATGGTTAAATGTTTTTTCTTCAATGGCATTACGAAGAATGCTCGACTCAGAGTTTGCCAATTTCAAGCTCACTTCATCACCTTGATACCTATGTATGCTCACTAAACCTACAAGTAACTGTACCAATATAAATATCATATGTTAGATGTGCTTCTTGTTTATTTAATGGCCATATCGGAGACCTGATTTAATGTTTTTGCATCTTTTTTAATACAGATAAAACAACCATAATAGAGAAATTCAGAAAAGTAATGT